AATTTAAATGCAGAATTGAATGAATCGGGGCATAACGTTGGAATGTCGCAGACAAAAAATCTAATGTTCATCAACCCTCTGCAGATATTTCTGCTTTAAAAATCAGACTTTGTGTCAGCATCTTGTTCTGAATGGTTAAAAAACTCAATTATATTGGATAGCAAGGAGGGAAAGTCCAACTCAAAGTCTTTATCGGACCTCCGGTGGACAGAAAATTCAACCAAAAAGAGAGAAAGCGACCATTAGCTGGATTTCTGTGCTGTCAGCCATTTTCTTTTAGCTCCATCAGCTTTTTAGGGGTTAAAAAAAGCTCTTTTATTATTCATTTCCCTGGGTTTAGCTCTGTTTGCATAAGCTGGCGACACACTAATTACCCTTCCATTTCTGGCTGAATTATTCTGCATTTTACACGTAAAACCAGCACGTTTGTTTGTGAATGTGTGTTTTTTTTTCATTACAGAGACACAAGACTATCCTACCTAATCTTCTCCGATTGGCGTGCCCATAAATGTTTAATAAATGTTTAATTATGCGGCCCGTGAGAGGGGAAACTGCACATAATTCAGAGGGAAACCGGCCAGACTCATCGTCTTAATAGAAAAAGATAATCCTGCTGGCAAACAGTTCATTTCAAGCATCCGGAGCTTTAAAAAAACTGCATTTTAATGTGGTTTCACAGAGACACATTTTTCCATACAGATTCTGCTCATGCTAAAAGGACCTTTTCCTTAATTTAATGGTAAAAACTTTGCTCAAAATCCTATTGTACACAATCAGATACACCTGATAACAGGGGGCAGAAGACTACACAAAAATAATCTGGACTTATTGCATAGTAACAAATTATTAATATTAATATTTTATTTTTGTTTTTTCTTTTTGCATATTTTGTTAAAAGGCCAAATAAGGAATTCAAACCCCCAAAAAGTAATTTTCTGTTTTGTTTTATACTTGGATCAGGCTTTAAAGGGTTAAAACAGCTCTGCTTGTGTTCTAGTCTCTTCATGGGCAAGCACCAATTCAAATGACCAGTTCAGAACCAGGAACCAGGACCACATCAGTCCAGTTCAGAACC